ATGAGGTGGAGGGAGACGAGGAGAAGGATGAGGAGATGTTAGCTCGCCTCCTCCGAGTTGAGCCGGATGATGAGGAGGATGACGCTATCCTGTCTGCAGCACAAGCGTCTAGGCCTGTGAGCGCGCAAAGCAGCGACGTGGCGTCGACGGTGGTAGATTGTGACCTAGTGTAAGTTTGTAAGCTTGGCATCGCTTGGACTGTAACTCCTGGGGATCCGGGAGTTAAACATGATGTCTATAATGGGAAAAGCTTCCTTCTCACCTTCCACCGGCGAAACAACTGCTTCCCGCTTTGCCAGCGTGTGTAGCAGAGATGACACGATCGTGGGACAAACCCTTTTCTCATCGTGTGCCCGTCAAGGGATTCTCATCGCTCGATGTGAGTGAAATGGAAGGGCTTGGGCTCACTACCTGCATCCAAACAGCGAACCACTCTCTGATCTGCTAGTCCCTCCCTCCCTGGGAAAATGGAACGCTTCACCGCTTCCATGTACCAAATTCAGCTCGAGTGTTAGAAGCAGAAATATCCTCCCTCCTAGAGAAAAGAGCTATAAGACGAGTTCCAGTGGGGGAAACTCAGAAAGGCTATTACTCCCATTATTTTCTAATTCCAAAGAAAGATGGGGGTTTGCGCCCAATAATGGACCTTGCTTGCTCCAAACAAGCACTTGCAGAAGTACAAATTCAAGATGCTCACAGTTGCAGCTCTCACGCACGCGCACAATCCGTCAGAACGACTGGTTCACCGTGGTCGATCTCAAGAAGGATTACTTTCATATAAGCATCGATTCTGCACACAGGAAATATCTCAGGTTTTCCTTTCAGAGCGAAGTGTATGAATTTGTCACTCTTCCATTTGGGCTCAGCCTCGCTCCTTGCGTGTTCAGCAGGTGCATAGAGACAGCGTTATCACCGCTGAGACACAAGGGGCTCAGAATATCTGCTTATCTGGACGATAATATGATGCTTACGAATAGACTCTGTGGCATACCGCGCTATGCTCTTGGAAAAGGAGGATAATGGCCTTTTATCAGTGCCTGGCCCAGTTTCACAAGGGAAATTTGGTATCGTTCAGGACCTGTCTTCGCCTTTTGGGCATGATGGCATCGTCGCTGTCCGTGGTCCCGCTAGGTTTGCTGAAAATGAGAGACTTCCAGCAATGGGTAGCAGCAAGACGTCTGTCTCCTTGTCAGCACCTCGGCGCAGAGTGAGAATAAATGCGGAGTGCGTGATGGCTCTTCATCAGTGGAGAGATCCTGGTTTATTCCAGACAGGGGTTCCCTTGGGGGGCGTGTCTCTGAGAAAAGTAGTGACAACAGATGCATCTCTGTCGGGTTGGGGGGGGCTGTTTTTCAGGGCAGATCGGTAAACGGTCACTGGACGCCCCAGCTTCGCAAACTTCACATAAATATGTTGGAGTTGATGGCAGTCTTTCTGGCCCTGAAACATTTTCTCCCATTCTTGGAAGGGTTTCATGTTCTGGTCAGGACAGACAACACGACGGTGGTGGCATATATCAATCACCAAGGGGGAACGCGTTCGTTACAATTGCACAATCTAGTGCGCAAAATAATTGTCTGGGGTGCGGCGCACGTACCAGGAGTCCTGAATGTAGGGGCAGATCTCCTGTCAAGGGGCAACCCGTTATATGGAGAATGGGTGCTCCACCCGCAGGTGGTGGATCATATTTGGGGGATGTATGGCAAGGCTGCCGTAAATCTCTTCGCCTTGTAGGCAAACACAAAGTGTCCGCTGTATTTCTCTCTCAGGGACTAAAATGCACCTTTGGGTGTGGATGCGCCGGCACACCCGTGGCCGAACGTGTTGCTTTATGCATTCCCTCCGCTGAGATTAATTTCTCCCACCCTGGAAAGAGTAAGACTAAATGGATTATCTCTCCTTCTGATAGCCCCTCGTTGGCCAGAGAGGCTGTCACTGGCAGAGATTGTCCAGCTCCTTCAGGGAGAGCCCTGGCCGCTCTCGTTGCACCGGGACCTGCTGTCGCAAGCGGGGGGGGGGGGGGGGGGGGGGGTTTGACACGAAAAGACAAGAGCTTTTTT